TGCCTTCATCATCATAGTATTAGAGCATTTTCCAGGCTTTTGTGGATCTACCCTCACGACATCCCTATGAGTTAGGGCAGTATTCCATGTTTACAAATGGTGAACTTAGGCACAGAGAGATGGTTCAAAGCCCAGGTAGGAAATCTGTTTACAGAGGCAGGGAACCTAGATCGCCTGAGCTGCCAGTCAGTCTGTTAACCACATGACTGTCTTTTCTCTTGCTTTCAAAGAAGGCATCAGTTGATGTGCAGAGCATTGCATCCTCATCCTGATCAGACAATCATTTCCTCTTAGCTGATATCTGAGCTCTTTCCCACTTCTTAGCAAGCAAAAGGCCCAATTTTGATTGCCCACCATAGAATGTGTGTTCCCACCTACCTTCTTAAAACTTCTAATGGAAAATCCTACTAAGCCAAGAAGTTAAGTCACACAGATCTAAAGGCATGCTAGGTAGAAACACTCCCTTCCCACTCTCATTGTCCCACAGATTATAGAGCTTCTCAGATGACCTGTCACAGAAAAAACATGAAGGATAGATACTCAACACCAAGAGCAGAAAATACAGATATGGAGAGTGAAAGGCACAACCAATACTTTAAATTTCTATGCCTTCTCTGTGGAACTATCTTGGCCTATTTTTACAGAAATAATCATGCATGCCTGAGATGGCTACTCTAGTCTCAAGCTTTCAACAATCACATTCAGATGGCATGCAGCACCCTTTCTCGGAACATGGCACAGTACAGCACAGGAAATCTGATTCTCCACTGACAACTCTGGCACATAATGGCCCTGGCTATTAAAGGATAGCTAAGAGCCCCTGGGATGCTGCTAACCGGTTGATATTAATATCAGGTTCGTTGACCCTATGGTCAGTGTTGTTGAAAGAGAGTGGTCTGTCACCCACATTTACTCAAGCTTGGTACTAATGAAACCAACTCTTGATGCAACCTATCTCTCCAGTACTACCCAGTGTCTAATCTTCTGTTTCTAAGCAAGATGACTGAGAAGTTAGCAAATCACTATCTCCAAGTGCACCTGACACCTGTCAGCATTCCCCGATGAGTTTTAGGTTTAAATGAGGCACAGAGACAGCACAGGACACACTATTTAATGACGTCTGTTGGACATAGACAGTAAACAAACATCCATTCTAATTTTATTTGACTCTCTGTACTTAGATCTAGTATACATGGAGTTTCCTAAAGCTCTATTCTCTTCTGTATCCTACTCAACCTCTAAGTCAAACCATTGGAAGCAGGCCTTTTTAAAAACACGCCAACCCAATAGTCTCAAAGGACTCTTTGTAGTTTGATTAAAAATCCATCTCCTTTTTTTGTCAGCAGACCGGACGGGTGTACTCTCCAACCAGAAAGTTGGGCTGTCCCGAATAAAAACAAATTCTGAGGTGCAATATATTAAAGTATTTTTTTTTTGCAAGGGGAGGCGAAATATTGGTCTATAAGTTTACCTTGGACCTCATTTATTTAATAAATGAGAATCAGAGCTCTAGCTACACTTTCTTCTTAAAACACACTTCTTTTCTGAAAGAGTCTTGTCAGGTTTACTAAGAAATATACTGAGAAATCCTTACTAAAAGCACTTTCTGAAGTGCAGAACTGTAGCCAGGAAGCTGACATATTACCCTAAATAGCTACATTCTTTTGTTCTTTTATTTCAGTACTACAATATTATGCCTATTTTAGTTGAAAAATGAAGTGCATGTGTTCAGGGAAAAAAGCATGTGGGTATAATGAAAATGATAAGCATCTTTTTTTTCTTTTTCTTGCATTCAAAAATCCCTTCTGCTTCAGATTTGTTCCTCACTTTCTAGTTCTGTTATGAATCAGGGGCCACAGAAATAGTCTCTCTATAAAATGGAGAGAGACATTAAAAGTAGACAGATTTCATATCTGCCAGACAGAGACCTCTTGTTAAGAAGAGCACTATTTAAGTGTCCCTTTGGTATTTTCCTTTTTTAATTTTGAACTGCATATATCAGACTGTTTAGTTACAAATAGGATGAAGACAAATACTGTCTTCAGATGCGATGCATATGTACTTGTATCAGTACAATAATCACTGCTTGTATGTGGTCTCTACGTTCTTTTTTTGAAAGTTTATAAAGTTTCAATACTTCAACAAGCTTTTTTTAAACTATAAATTTTAAATTTAATTCTAAATTAATAAAATTAAGTATATTATATACACTGTGGAATTGAGTCTTTACTGTCTTGCACATTGTGTTTTCAGTTTCCTCCTTGGCACTGTTGAGAGCAAAGTGGATATAAAACACCACCTCAAGTGTGAATGCAGAACTCTGGTACATTTACACTGCTTTTTATAGGTATAGTTAACTGCATCAGGTGCAAGGCAGTGGAGAATCAGGTCCTATATTCAGATATTGTCTATAATAGCTATCATTTTGATGGTTTTGATAAGACCATCTAATGGCATCTATTCAATTTCAGTTTCATCTAAGATTGTACAGATGTGCACTAGCAGTATGTACTGCATTGCCACAATAATTGCAGTATTTGCACTTATAAAGTAGTTTGAAAATGCAAAGTGCTATAAAGACACTAATGACAATTATTAGACCACACAACATCCTTCTGAAAGAGGAGAGATTTCCATTTTACAGGTGTTGCAATTGAAACAGATTAATTGAGATTCTCATGACCGCAAAGTGGCAGGACCTGGATTAGAATTTGAAAGTTCCTAGCTCTCAATGTCATGCTTGATCAATGAGACTGCACTAGCCATAAAAGTTAAGAAAATATTTAGGTATAATTATGCCTATTTTGCTTCACTCTTCACTAAAAAAGTTAGTGGTGACCATGTACTCAAAACAATTAATATTAACAACAAGGGAGAACGAACCAAAATAGGGAAAGAACAGGTTAAAGAATATTTAGATAAGCTAGATGTCTTCAAGTAATCGGGGCCTGATGAAATTCATCCTAAGGTACTTAAGGAACCCAGTAGCATAGCTAGTGGGGTGCAGGGGAAGGAGCCACGGGGAGGGGGTGGCACGACCAGAGGAGCGGGGGGGGGGGGGCCGCGGGGGGGCCCCCCGCGGGGGCGGCGGCGGAGGGGGGGGGGCGGGAGGGGGCGCAGCGTGGCTGCCCGCCCAGCATGGCCGGCAGCCGCGGCCGGAGGAGTGCAGCAAGGCGGCCCGCAGCGCGGCCAGCAGCCGCAGCTGGAGGAGC